AACTCCTAGATGCTGTCTGTATCGACCTACACAGAGGCTCACCCCACCCCGCGGAGGCAGTGCAGACCCTCAATGTCATGTTCAACCTCCGACTGTCCTACAGCTGGGCTCTCACTGGTATGGCTTTCGCTAACCTCCATGACATTGCCCACCACTGCACTACCTTTTGCTCAGGCTACAAGACTCATCCACCATCCCTCATCCACCCTTCATCACCTCCAGGCTTGATTATGCCAAACCCTGTTTTCCAGACTCCAGCTTCTCCTTACACAAGCTGCAGACCTCTATAGCTGGTGTCCTCTCCTGCCTTGGATTCCGTGAGCTCATCACCCCCATCCTCTCCTCACTTGACTCTACTATCTCCGCATTTGATTGAATTCAAGATCCTCATCCTCACGTTCAAACACCTCCATAGCCTTGCCCCCAATCTTTTTCTGTGACCTCCTGCAACCCGAGTGCCAAGATAACTGCCACAGCCCAGCTCGGCTGCTACTCAGCCCTGCCTACTCTGCCCCAGGCATCATTGGGTAAGCATTGAGCTGCTCTACCCTCACTCCTGGAATTCCCTTCTGCCTACCCGCCACCCCCCCCCACCCCTGGCCTCCCTCCCCCACTTTCAAAATACTTCTTAAGACTTATCTCTTCTACCGTACTTTCCACCATCATTCCCCTCCCTTCCCCCAGCTCAGGCTCCCAGTCTGTTGTATGAAATGCTTTGAGATATCTCCCGATGTGAAAGCTGCTAATATAAATGTAATTTTTTTAATATAAACTTTTTTACATTTTTCAACTGTGAATTTGTTTCTTCTCAAAAAAAACCCACTCCCTTGCCTTTCCAAGTGCTCATTTGCAGAATTAAATAGGTTTAAAGTATCCCACTGAAAAAAAGGAAGAAAAAGTGAACCGCAATAACGTTACGATTTAAAGACAGAAGAAAAATAAAGACTGTAACTCGGAGAAACAGCAGCCACTGGCCATCAGCCACCTCGTTTCATTAAAAAACAAGCTTGAAACTCGATGAAAAGTAAAACAAAGCCAGCACCAACGCAGGGCACTGTCTGCAATTGTGATTTATATAAAGTGCAGCCGAGTTCACTCCCCAGAATCTGGAATTAATGGAGGGGAAAGTCTGTGAGGTTTCATTGACTCGATCAGAGTCAATACTCTTTGTGTGAGGTTTTGACGTCTGGTCAGGTCCTTTCACTGCTTTGTTGTGCGACACTGTATGTGACTCATTGAATAGAATGCTTGGTTTGATAATAAATTGTGGGATTGAGCTGGGGGAGAGAGAACAAACTGACTGTTATTTTCCCGCGCTGGATGTGTGAGTGAAGAATAATGAGGAGCACCGGGGATTTGTGAAGTGCTTTGTGACGTCCCAATGCTGTGAGGTGTGGTACAAGAATTGCAAGAATTGTGATTTTTTCTTCTTTCAATGAAGTGCTCAGCATTGCTGTTTCTCCGCTTCCGTGTAGACTCAGCACCCACTTCATGCACGGGGCTTCTCAGTAATAATAAAGGGGATGGGGCGGAGGGGGAAAGGGTTGGTTCCAGACGTTCTGGGGGTGACTGACTGAAAGTTCAGCCACTGACTGTGGAGGTCAGCCTGTGGATGCTGGATCCATTCAAATCTTCAAGACTGAGGTGGATAGATATTTGTCAGGTCAGAGCATTAAGGGATGTGGGGCAAAGGCGGTAAATGGAGTTAAGGTACAGTTCAGCCATGATCTAATAGAATGGTGGAATAGGCTTGAGGGGCTGAATGGCCTACTCCTCTTCCTATGATAGTAGCGTGGACCAGGTCTGGGACACGCAGCAGCCTGGTGTTAGCTGACCAGAGGGGGCATGAATAACGCAGAGCTTCAGATGCTGCAGCCCCGGGGTCCCGGATGTTGAGGGGCCCCACTGTGGCTGTGAGGCTCTGCAACCTTCCGATCCCCGAGACATCCAGATTTCCCCGAAACAAAAGGCAAAATACTGCAGGTGCTGGAAACTGAAGTAAAAGCAGAAGTGGATGGGACACTCAGCTGATCAGGCAGCATCTATGGAGAGAGGAAGATGGGTTAATGTTTTTAGGTTGATGTCCTTTTGTCGTTGATGAAAGGTCATCGATCTGAAACGTGAACTCACTTTCCTCTCTCCGCAGATGCTGCTGATCGGCTGAGCGTTCCTGCGTGTTGTTTGTACTACAGATTAGCTGTACCCGCTGCAGCTTCGCTTGCAACCGAAGGATCCAATATGGAATGCAGATCGACACAGACAGACATTTTGTCTATACTGAGCTGAGAAGGCTCCTTGTGGGAGGGCTCTGTGGGAGGGCTCCTTGTGGGAGGGCTCTGTGGGAGGGCTCCTTGTGGGAGGGCTCTGTGGGAGGGCTCCTTGTGGGAGGGCTCTGTGGGAGGACTCCTTGTGGGAGGGCTCTGTGGGAGGGCTCTGTGGGAGGATTCCTTGTGGGAGGGCTCTGTGGGAGGACTTCTTGTGGGAGGGCTCTGTGGGATGTGTTCTTGGTTGATATACACACACAAATATTTTGTCTTTAGTATAGATTTCTCCGGGAGGTCGGAGCGCCTTTGTGCAAACGCGAGACGCCTCACCTTCTCCTCTCACACATACACCACAGCGACACGCGGGGCCAACGGACAACCGTGCGCGGGGGCTGCTGGGATGGCGAGGGGCGCGGGGGCTGCTGGGATGGCGAGGGGCGCGGGGGCTGCTGGGATGGCGAGGGGCGCGGGGGCTGCTGGGATGGCGAGGGGCGCGGGGGCTGCTGGGATGGCGAGGGGCGCGGGGGCTGCTGGGATGGCGAGGGGCGCGGGGGCTGCTGGGATGGCGAGGGGCGCGGGGGCTGCTGGGATGGCGAGGGGCGCGGGGGCTGCTGGGATGGAGGGGGCGGGAAAACGGGCTTCGCCTGAACAGTGAGTGACCGCGGCCTCTCTGCTGAGATTGTCCGCGAGTGTCTCTCTCTGTGTGTGTGTGTGTGTCTCTGTCTGTGAGTGTCTCTTGTTTTGCTGCGGGTACAACAGTAAAGGGAAGCAATTGAACAATCAAAGAGGGCCCCCTCCCAAACCTGGGAATGGGGTGTGAGCAGGTCAGAGAGGGCCCCGTGGGGGTGGGGGGTTGTGAGGGTGAGGGCCTTGAAGTCGATTTGCTGGGATCCAGGAGATGGCTACGGTGATGGGGCACACGGAGGCTGCTGCGGGGGACATTGCCGCCGGTTTTCCTATTGCATTCATCAGAAATCAGCTCACACACCTCGACCGGACCGTCCTGACCCGAAACAACTGAGCTATCGGAGGCATAACCACAGGCTGTTGAATTGCCAAGTCTCCAGATAAACTGAAAGGCTTTGGTTACTTTCCTGCAACAAAATAATAATCCTTTCCCTGCGGCAGAGGTGAATTAACAGTTACAGAGTTATTTGTGCTGCGGGGAATGAAAGAAATTGCCTTATAACTACAGGACTTTTGAAGGAATTCTTAAACAGAATTGTTTCCCAACTTCAAAGAGCCTTTAACATAGCACGGTCTGGCCCGGCTTCACAGCTCCCTTTTGGTCCTGATAAAAAGTCGATGCTGGAAGTGAAATGTGAGACAAGGAACCATGTGAATAATCCTTGCATTTCATATAGCGCCTTATCATGTCATGGAGACATCTCAAAGTGCTTCACAGAATATATTGTAAAGTGAATTGACTGTAAATTTTGTGGGTGAAACGCGTCAGGCAATTGTGCACAGCAGTATCCCACAAACAGTCATGGATTGAGTGACTTTTTTTTTGGAGGGATTATTACCCCCAGAAAGTGATCTGCCAATCTACTAACAACTGGGTTCCTACTTTCTGCGGGATAAACAGGCGTATGAAGTAAAGAAACCAGCCTAGGGTTTCGCCCTGCCCGGGAATCGAACCTGGGTTACCTCGCTTGCGAGGCGAGTGCACCAATCACTTCACTATGGGACTCCACAACCTAATTCTCTAGATTTTACATGAACGAAGACGCAGTGGGCTGGTCCCGGGAAGAATAAGGTGTTGGGAATGGCGATGGTTTCTGCTTGGCTCAGTTCTTGTGGTTTGACTGGCTGCCGGCGCTGGGCCGAACCGTACTGATTCCAACCGGTGTGGAAATTAAGCGAGCTAACTTTTCCCTGGATTAGCGCGGATCAGATTGCTTAAACCCAGGTTTTAATCGTCTTCTACTCGTTAAGCTAAGCTTTGGGTTTTGCCGCACGCGGTTTGCGAGTTCAAGTTCCCCGGGTCACCGTCGCCTGTGAGTTCTGAGACTTGGGGGCAGGGGGTGGGGGCTGTGTATATAAAAACAACTGCCATTTCACTTGTGAGTTTATTCTCTAATTCACATTCCACGGGTGTTGTGTGTGTGTGTGTGTAAGTGATAATGCGCAGCTCTGATCTTTGCATTTGCTCGTATTTCAGGGAGGGAGTGAGTGAGTGAGTGATCGAGTGTGTGAATAAGTGAGGGAGTGAGGGATTGAGTGTGTGAGTGTGAGTTGCAGGGTTGCTCGGTGCTGAGCTTCGGGCCTTTATCGATTCATTGATTCCACATGGTCCCGCTCTGACCTTCTGATCCCAGAGAAGCCGTTTCTATGGAGACTGGCAGTCCTCCTCCAGCCTGGTTTCTGGCAGGAATGTGGTTGGGGGCAGCAGCTGATTGTAAATTCCAGCAGAGACTGGCAGCCCCGCGCGTGTCTCTCCTCCCCCTGCTCGGCTCGGCTCGGCTCGGCTCTGCTCAGCTCAGCTCGGGGGGGTTTGCAATGTGAAAGAGCAGCGAGAAGCAGCAGCGCTGTGTACATCTCTGATGTGAGTGAGTGAGTGACTCCCTCTCTCCCCAGAGCGGTGCTGTGTTAGAGTCAATGATCCCACAGCACAGAGCGCTCTAACTGAGGGGGCAAGTTCACACTCACACGCTCCCTCCCTCCCTCCCTCTTTCTTTCCTTTCCTTTCTTTCTTTCAAACCACCGGGATCACCGTCAGGATAGAGTGAGGCGAGGACTCCCCATCCCCATCCCATCCCATCTCTCCCCAAGCCTTCGCTCATCAAGAGAATGCGGAGCAGAATGGGGGCTGGCGCTCTGTCCGGCTCCTACTGTTTGCTTTTCATGCTCTTGAACACACTCAGCACGGCGGGAAACAAGGGCAGCCAAGGTAAGCCAGCTTTCTCTTTTCTTTTAATGCATCTCCCCCCCCCCCCCCCCTCCTCTTTCTCCCTCTTTCCCCCTCTCTGTCTCTCCCCTCCGCTCAAATGTATTTTGAATTCTGTTCAGCGTGTGGCTCCCTGGATCGTGCCTTGGGAAACGATTCCTCTCTGTGTGCTTATACCTCTTCTCTTTTATATGTGTGTGTTTATCATAGACAGAGTGTGTTTGTATACATTTCTGTTTGTATGGATACACACTGTGTGTGTATGTGCTTACATGTTTGTGTCTAATTTATATACGTGTGTTTGTATGTGTATTGTCTATAATTCTATGTGTGCATATATATATGCACTCACAGTATATATAGTTCTCTCTCACAGTATGTGTATGTGTATGTATGTGTGTGTGTGTGAGAGTTCAAAGATACAGTGCATGTATTTAAGAGCCAAGATCAATCTTGCTGTGGAGGTGGAGGTAGATAAATAGAGAGAGCAAGCTAGGGAGCATGATATGGTGCAATTCCACAAAATTTGGATTAATGAGGACCTTGAATTATTGTTGCCACTTTGGTCTCAGAAAGACAAAACATCCCTTTGGATTTTTTCACTTGAAGTTTTCCTGGTGTAATTTGAATTGAAGAATACTGACCATCTCTCATCAGCAATTTAAAGGTTAAGCCACATTTGAACATTGCATCTCTGCCGGCCCCATCTAAACAGTTGTGAAACATGAATCATTTAATGTATAATTTTCAGTGCTCGTCGCCCAGACCGATATCTAAGCTGACTTTATAATAATAATAATTCTTGCATTTGATATAGTGCCTTATCATGTCTTCGAGACATCTCAAAGTGCTTCATACTTTGTGTAAACCGCCTCCTAACAATAGCTGGTACATTGAGATCAGCTCTAATAAATGAATCTGCAGGTCTAGTATTTGATTCAGATCGGTCTATGCCAATTAACTGCTTTATAATCAAGTCATTGTTTATAAATTGGGAAATTAATCAATCGACTTGTCTCAAATCCAGCGGCAGTGGTCGCTACACTTCTCTCTCTCTCTCTCTCTCATTTAATCTGCCTTTAACAGATCCTGTTTTACTTGTGTCTGCTGACATTGTGGCAATAGCAAAACAAACAGTCCAATGTGTTTTTAGTCTTTAGTTTATTAGCTGGGCAATTGACATATGTATTTGCTGAAAAATGTAATGTGAGCAAGCTGGGACCTATTCACCGTGATGTTGACATATTACCGGCTAAAGCGATGAGTGAACGTTTAATCAAGAATTTGAGTTTTATGGCATTTTCAACATGGGCCGAAATTTGCTTCTTACATTGGATGGATGTCTGTCTGCGTCTGTCGTCTCTCTGTTTGTCTCAAGTGATGTGATGCAAAAGTTTACTTTTTAAAATGCATTTTTATACAGGAGTATAGTTCCATTTGAATTTTTTTTGTGTGGAACAACAACAGCAGTTCAGATGCAGTATGAATTTTTTTTAGAGGCTGTTTTTTCCCTTGTCTTTCCTTACCCTCCTCCCCCCCCCCAATAAATTTTCACTTCGCTGTCCTAAACTGCTAACTTGTGCTGCGTTATAGTCAGGCACCAGCAATGCTCTGAAGTATAACTGAAGTATTTCATTTCACCCACAAAATACACAGCCAATCCACTTTACAGCATATTCTATGAAGTGCTTTGAGACGTCTCAACGATGTGATAAAGCACTATATTAAACACAAGGATTGTCATAAGTAGTCCTTATCCCAGTGTGAGCTGGCTGCCTGTGTGAGGGGGAGCATCACATCTGAGCATGATTTTTTTTCTCTCTCTCTCTCCTGGGCTGACACCTGCACGCCCCTCACAGCAGGAGTTAGTGGAATGAGATGAGGATCCCTGGCTGTTCCCTCCCTAGCCTCGGGGGCTCAGGCCAATTGTGGCAGTCTCAGCGCCTCAGCTGGAATTGGAACTCAGATCAAATCAGCATGGTATCTGGGACCTTTCTGATTTGTGTGGCTTAGTCTTACACTGGGGGCCCATTAGTGTATGGGGCGGGGGGGGGGGGGGGGTTAGTGTTACACTGGTTTGTGGGGTGTTGTCGGTTTACACTGGTGTGGGTGGAGGGAGAGAGTATATCAGTGCTGGGGGGAGAGGGGGCTGTCAGTGTTACGGGGGGGGGGGCTGTCAGCGTTACGGTGGGGGGAGCTGTCAGCGTTACGGGTGGGGGGTTGTCAGCGTTACAGGGGGGGGCTGTCAGCGTTACGGTGGGCAGGGGAGCTGTCAGCATCACGGAGTGTGGGGGGGCTGTCAGCATCACGGTGGGTGGGGGGTGTCAGAGTTACGGTGGGCAGGGGGGCTGTCAGGGTTACCCTGGGCGGGGGGGTGGTGTCAAGGTTACGTTAGGTGGGAGGGGCTGTCAGGGTTACGGTGGGTGGGGGGGGCTGGCAGGGTTACGGTGGGTGGGGGGGGCTGGCAGGGTTACGGTGGGTGCTGTCAATGTTATGCGGGGTTTGGGGGATGTGCTTTGTAAGTGTAACCTGGTTAGAGGAGAGTGGGTTAAGTGAGGTGAAGTTTTGTGCCTGGTGTATTTACACACACGCCACGGCTCTGTGCCCACGATTCCTTAACCTGATGATATACTATTTCCTGAATAATTGTTTTTCATTTACTAAAGTTCTGGGTTATTTTGTGGTGTGGTTCATGCTGTTCCCCAGCACAGCCTAGAATACCCCATTTTCAGTTTGTTTTATATCAAAATAATTTCCGCTTTACACTGAAGTATCTTGATGAATCTCATTAAAAGAATGAGTTATGGACTGCCACTGACAGTTGCTTATTAAACGGGGATTAGCTAGTTTAATGCAAGTATTCTGCTGGTGCAGTGAGTTTATTAGTTGTCTGTTTGAAATCGTAGAATATAGAATGAGAACACAGGAGAAAGCCACTGAGCCTACACTGATACCAGCCAGCTCCTCTACACTAGAAGTTAATTTATCCGAACTTTTGCATGAAATGTTTCCTATTCAGACGGACGTTAAAGATCCTATTTGAAAAGAGAAGGAAGTTTCTCTCTCCCCCAAATAACATTGCACACTCACTTTGTGGCTGTTTGTGGGATGTTGTTGTGCAAACTGCCTGCTGCATTCACCTTCAAAGTTCCCGTCGCTGTAGTGTACACTCTATGAAACACTTTGAGACATCCTCCTGGCACGAAAGGCGCTGTATCAAATGCAGGAATTTTTTTTTATCTACCAGATTCTCAGATTCCCTGCTTTATCCCTTTTGCATTGGTCTTCCTCAAACCTCCTGATGTGAAAGGCACTATACAAATATAATTTTGTTGTTGTTGTTAATCAGTTCCCTTTTAAATCTCCTTATATTCCTCGCTTCAATAGCCACTTGTGGCAAAAGCTTTCCATGTGGTAATAACCCTCTGCATGAAAAACATCTAACGTACCTTCTCTCCTCCAGGAACAGTTTTGAGTTTAAACTCCCTCGTAACCGATTTATCAGTCAGCAGGAATAATCCTTCACTGTTATCCTCTCCAAACCAACCTCTGTTGGATTGCTTGTTGAATAGCTCAGTAATATCCTGTGAGGGAGAACTGTGATCAGCACAGCAAGGTGTGACTTACATTCAACTGTTCAGGCATCGGATACCAGAAACCGTTTGCTGCTGAAATCATCATTCGTGGATAGTTATAATGACAAACATTTAACAACGGCATTGAGCCATGCAATAACTCCTTCTTACATGGGCTGTGTTAATAGCAATGCGGCACTCGATCCCAGTGTCTGGCCCCTGCAGTTTTCATGATGTGACTTGTAAACTTCAGGAAACCAATGTGATTTCCTACAGAAAATGAAGCCATGGAGAATTAGCCATGATTTGCAAGCCCTCTGCACTTGAGTTCTTTGGCTCAATGTGCCAGGCTGCCTGCTTTGATTTTTGTCAATGTTTTTTTATGGAGAGCTTAAGGATTGCTTTAATGCAACACGTTGTTTAAATTTCAGATGTTAAATATTGTAAAAGGAAATTCCGAATCCTCGTACAGTGTAGAGATAACGATCTTAAAGCAACAAGCTTACTGTGACTTGACACAGAGCAAAATGCTATTGTGGTTGTGTTCTGTCAGTTTGGCTCAGTCAGTCGCACGCTCAGCTCAGGGTCAGAAGGTTGTGGGTTCAAGCTTCATGTCGAGACTTTGAGCTCACAGTCTAGGCTGACACTCTAGAGCAGTGCCCCAGGGAGCATTGCATTATCGGAGATGCTGTGCTTCGAGTGAAATGTTAAACTGAGCCGCCGTCTGTGCCAGTCCTCGGGTGGGTGTTGAAGGTCCCATGCCGCTATTCCTGGATGCCTGGCCAACCATCCAACCGCAGTAGGAATTGGTCATTCACCTTGTGGTGGTTTTAGGGGTCTTGCAATGGGTACTGTTTGAAACACAAAAAAGCCCTATGCTCAAGAGTAATGACTTGTGAAGCACTTTGAGACGTGTTGACACAACAATCTGCATTTATAGAGAGCCCTTCACACAGAATATCAGAGAGCTTCATATTGATGGGGTTGAACACTGAGCAAGGGAGAAAGGGAAAAAGTAACCATAGGAGCAGTTGAAGAGGTAGGTTTTAAGGTGGGATGTAAAGATTGTGAGAGGGGAGGTATTGAACCATGGATAAGATACATCTCTTTAGGTGAAATTAAGCTGCAGGACAAATTCATGATTGCTGAGGTTTATAGGGATGCAGCAAGTACTGCTCCAGGAAATGCTTCAATTTTACATGATCCATTTTTTTCCTGAAAAATTAAACATTTCTTCGAATGAATGCAGGAAAGTGTTGGTATTCTCAGCAGCAGAGCTCCACAATGCTGTTTGAGATGTATTACGTTGTGATTGTTCTGTAAACTCTAAATACATTTTAAATGATTGTTTTAATATCATCAGCGGATCAGCCTGGCTCAGTTGGTAGCACTCTCGCCTCTTGAGTCAAAAGATTATGGGTTTAAGCC